ATACTCAACATCAACTTTATGCTGTTATTGACTGTAGGGGGAAAATCATTGAAATTCTTACATATACCTTGGAAGATCTGCTTGCCCCCGAGAGTACACCTGACTAATTTTATCTAGGTTTTTTTTTCTTTTTTAGACTTTTGGCTTTTTGATTTCCTGGTTTTAATATTTGCTTTTAGCATTTTACCTCGGCACTTACCGTGCTCTGGTGACTTTGTCCTCCTCTTGGACTAACATCCTCATCATACGTAAAACATTCGAAATGAATTTTTGGATCTTAGTGAACTTCAGCATCCTCAATCTTACCTGGTGTCATCTTTGAATATTTATCCTTTTTAGAGAAACTTTGGTTTACCTTAGAGCATTTTTAATCCTAGAGGCACTTAGCCTTGAAAGGGGGACACTTGAACTTTTGAACTTTTAGCCGACTATTTTAACTATTCTGTTAATCTTATTTAAGTCTTATATGTTTTTATTGTGATTTTTCGTAATTTTAACATTTGATGTTTCACCTGACCTTACTTTTATATGTTTTTATCTGTATTTTTGACACTTTTATTGTTGGTTAATTTTACTCATTTAGGTATTTTAAGCGCTTTGAACTTTTTTTGAGGATTTTGTTTTATTTTTACTGACTGATATTTTCGATTTTGTGATTTTTTCTTATGTATATCAATCTTTTTGGTTTTGATTTTACTTTACTGTAATTTCATAGTGTTTAGTTCACGTGAAAACGGATGAAACCCTTATCCGAAAACTCCTTCGGGGGTAGGCCGGTTGCTATTACTCTTAAAGTATATGTCAATTTACACTACCATGCATTTCAATTTTTGGTAAACAGTTTTTTGATGTTTCTCTACATTTTAAAGCCAATTTTCTCGAATTGATTGCATTTTCCACAAAACTATTAAATTGTAGACGCATAATTTACTTAAAAACAATACCAAAATTTTAACTATTGAAAAACACACTATGATCCTTTTAATTCATTAAGCAATTAAAAAAAATTGAAAAAACACCTCAAAGCATGAATTTTTCATTAAATAAATACTGAATAATTACGGGATTTAAAATTAGCTTTTTAAGAAACAGCTTTGCATGAAATGATTCATTTCTCAGAGCATTTGAAAAATGAGAATATCGACAAATGATCATTTTTCACTGTTTTTAGAGCCTCAATTAATCTTGGGTTTTCCAAAACGGAAAACAGGAAGAAAAAAACACAAATTCCATTAGCCAAAGAGCAATCAATCAATACTTTCCTAAGTGCATATCTAAGTAATATTAAAGAACATTTTTTTGTAAAAGTTTTGTTGAAGAATAAATAACGTAAGCCATTTTCACTTATTTTATTCTAAAATTGTAACAAAAGCTCGTATAATGAAGTTAGACGCGCCTATCAATTATTTACTTAAATGCTATATAAAGAAACAGTCTAATACTCAATCAAGTGACAGTAAATAAATCTTAAGTAACAATCTTTTTTAAAATAATAATCTTTTCAATTTTTACTTTGAAACTTAGTTCTGAAATTCGATTCATATTTGTTATAGATCAATATGAAATTTTCATCTATTATTTACTAAAATGCTATATAAAGAAACAGTCTAATACTCAATCAAGTGACAGTAAATAAATCTTAAGTAACAATCTTTTTAAAATATTAGTCTATTACAGTTTCTAATTCAAGATTTAGTTCTGAAATTTGATTCATATTTTTTATAGATCAATATAAAATTTAAACAATACATTAATTCATTCATTTAATTAAAACAACGATTTTTTAAAATTGGTTGCATAAGTCGGATTTATTTTGACACAATCTAGTTCTGCCTGACTCGTAACATGTTTATGACATAAATTTTTATTTTTGGATCTTAAATAAAGGCATCATGGTATGTAAAGCTGAAGTGGAAAATGTCAGGAAAAAATTTTCCGTATCGATATCCATAGCAAAAAATATGTACTACTACATTTTTTTAGCCTACTCTGATTCTTAACTTTATATAAAGGCAAAAAATGCTCTTTTTTTCAGAATTATACTTAGACGAAAACTCATGATTACGATTAAAAAAACTTTTATAAAAAACCAAGTAATTAAACTTAATTATTAGATTTAAATTATTTTAAATTATTGTATAAATTATAATTTTTAATATTGTTACATACGATTGTTGCATACATCATAGTGTATTTTATCACACATTGACCTTGAAACAAAGCTCACTTGACTCAGATAATAAGATATTTTTGTCCATAAAATTGACCAAAATGATGCTTGATTATAATTTCTCGCCTTTCTCACGATTATTCAATACTATTTTTTGTATGCTAAAATTATACCAAGTGCTGAATTATAAATTGAATGCTGGAAGCAGGCCCGGACTGGCCAGTAGGCAGACCGGGCAAATGCCCGGTGGGCCGGTCTGACCTGAGGGCCGGTTGGGCCGAGCCAGCTAGGCAAATTTTTTTAAATACATTGCATGAATTTCAAATAATATTGCGTAAATAATAATAATATTAAATAACATATATATGATATATGTAGTAATAATATTGTTTTAATATACAGGATGATTCAGACCATGCGTGCCATCCATTTTTTTCGAGAATGGAGCAAATAAGCGATTTAAAATAAAAAATCTAATAACTAAATCGACCCCAAGGAATTCAATAGTGATATTGTTAATGCCCGGAAGTACCGGAATTTGAACACAATTTCGATTTTTTAAATGGAAACCTATATCTTATTTGGCATCACTGGAGAGGGTTTTCGAAAAAAAAGTAACTTTTACTTGAATTTTTTTTTATACCTCTTACTGTTCTCAAGATAATAGATACGAAACAATTCTGATTATTTACTGCAATTTATCATTTTTACCTAAAATAATTAACTTAAATTATCAAAATCGCTTCAATTTTTATAAAACATGGGAAGAAAAGCACAAATGTGTTTTAATGAAGGTATAAAACATTGTGATGACGAAAAATTTTTTTTTAGTGAATATGTCAAAATCTATTTAATATGTATTTTTTCTTATCTATTATTCTGAAAATAGTAAGAGATATTAAAAAATATTTTAAGTAAAAGTTATTTCTTTTCAAAAACTATCTCCAATGATGCCAAATAAGATATAGGTTTCTATTTAAAAAAATCAAAGTTGTGTTCAAATTCCGGCTACTTGCGGGAATTAACAATATCACTATTGAATTCCTTGGGGTCGATTTAGTTATTAGATTTTTTTTATTTCAAATCGATTATTCGCTCCATTCTCGAAAAAAATGGGTGGCACGCATGGTACTTTATAACTTAATATTAAATCAGGTCTGAATCACCCTGTATTTTATAATTTAATATTCCTGGAGATAATGTTAGGTGTCGTTGTTGACACATAAATAAATCTATGTCCGACTGTGAGTCTGTGTAAGATTCTCATTCTTTATTATTTCCAGTACTGCACAAACTTTTATTTTATCCAGTAGAATTTTCTACAGTGTGTGACTCTTCTCTAGACTTTTAATGTAATGTATTATTTGTTTTTCTGTGTTTTTTAAATTCCATTTGGTAAGTACCTATTTTTAATTTTTATTTCTATATTATATAGGTATTAAGTTCCAGGAGTTTCCTACAGGATCGGTATCGATCCCCTACCGGTCGAAGGACTTTTAAAGGGGGTCTATAATGACGAAGGGATTATGGGGGCCTATTGTCGAATTCGTACCGTACTGAAACATTAAAAGCAAAAACTGGTTTAACCTCAGAATTCTATAGCATACCTATTTGAATAGTATTTGAATACACTATACACTTCATTATCTTCTAGTAAAAATAGTAATAAAGTTGATATTTGTTTGTATAGCAAATTGACTAATACATATTGTATTTATTCATGCAATATTTTTTCATATTTTGATTCGAAAATTAAAGAATTTTTATGAAACAGCTGTTCTTAATGGGATCTTAATCTTGTAAACTGCTAAAGATAAATGTCTGTTACTTTATACAAGAGAAATATAAAAGTCTTCTCAATTTTGTTAAAATTCTGTATTAAAATACATAATAAAAATCATATTTTTAAATTGAACTTTCTTTAAAATTTTCCTGTGACGTTGAGAGGGACATGAACATCACAAATATTTAAATAAGGGTCTCTAGTCTAAATCAAAATAAAGTTGGAAATGGGAATTCCTGAGTTGCTGACATTTTAAATTTTCTATATATCTTTATCAAACTTTCTTACGGAAATAATCTTAAGAATTTATGTAATTTTTTTAGCCTTTTGGATTTCAATTCCTACATAAGAAAAGCAGGCGTCAAATTTGATCAACACTCTGAGCGGTTTTTAAATCAAAGTTAAAGTTCCCCTTGGTCTTGAGTTTGGTGGCTGAGTAATGGATAAAAACAAGAAGCGCAAAGTAAAAGGAGGAGCAAAAAAAGTTAGATTGAAGAAACAGAAACTTTTAGAAGCCAGTGCCCAAAAATGTGTAAACTGACAAATGTCTTTGTATGTCCGCAATCGCACTCCTCTACATCTAATGCAGTGGAGGAAACAGTGGCGGCAGCTGGAGAAGTTGCTAATAGTTCATATCGAGATCAAGAACAACAGGAAAATGATTAGGAATTGAACAACAGGAAAACTTTCAGAAATCAGAAATTGAACAACAGGTGGATGATCAGAAATTGGCCAAAAGCGCATTAAAAGTGGCGCCTCTGATCTTGCTATAATCGAACTACTAACTGAGCAAGATAGCAATTCAATTCCCTCGTTTAATTATTTTGTACGTCCTGAAAAGAGTAAACTCGATTTATTTTTAAGGTATCATCCGAAACAAAAAGTCAGTGACCCTGTGTTAAAAAAAGCAAAGTATCGGAAAGATGGTTCTAATATAAAGTGACCACACGTCCCGATTTTGGCGGGACAGTCCCGCTTTTTTGTGAGCTGTCCCGCGTCCCGCCGATTTTTTAAAATGTCCCGCTTTTTAGAAAATATCTGCATTTCTTATTTTAAATGTACTGTAAAAATATATTACCTATTATTTATTAAGTATTATGGTGAATATAAAGAAATAAAAAATAGATTTAAAAAAATACATTAAATGCATGCAGAGTAAACTAAATTAGGCAATGTACCGAGTTAGATTTATTCGGTGGTGTTCGATCATTGTCGTTACGTCTCGGCTTAATTCAGATAAGTGCAGACAGGCGGACTGCCGATAGACAGTGCGGTTTGTTGTTTTCAATTTGACTTTCGGTTTGACTCGATTCGATTGACGAAGATAGTGGTAGAGCAATAGTCGCTACAACGTAATGGCCAGAAAGGTAAAATTTAATACTCTTTTTTAGCCTTTGTAGTAAATTTTTTTATTTATTTCTAGTATTTACCCACAGAATAAAAGATGAGTAAAAAAAGAGAATGCAAATTTAATGAAGAGCTAAGCAGAGAATTTCCATTTATTAAAAAAACTAAAATAGACTATATGGTACGGTGTGATAAATGCAATGCTGAATTTTCGGTCTCACATGGTGGAAAAAACGATATTACTAAACATCTAGCGACAAAGAGGCACAAAAGATTTTTGAATAATGCCGCTTCTTCGTCTAAAATGGAACAGTTTTTTCGCAGTGCTAGCTTTGGCAACACGGAAAAACAGCTAGCATTAGCGGAAGGGCTATTTGCTTTCCACACCATAAACCACAATCAAAGTTTCCGATCAATGGATTGTACGTCGCAAATGATCAAAACATTATTCGACAAAAAATTTGCATGTGCAAGGACAAAAACCGAAGCAATTATTTGTAATATTTTTTCACCATATTCGTTTTCACAACTGCAGAAAGAATTAGAAAAATGCTCATTTATATCCATATATTCTGATGCTTCCAACCACAAAGATTTAAAATTATTTCCCACAATTGTTAGATTTTTTGATCCGGAAACAGGAATTAAAATTAGAATATTAGATTTTGTTTCATTGCCGGGTGAAACTTCACAAATAATTTTTGACTCAATAAGTACTATTTTGAAAAAGAATAATTTGAACGATAAAATTATTGCCTATTGTGCGGATAACACTAACGCAAATTTTGGTGGAAAAGCTAGAAGAGGCATCAATAACGTTTTTACGAAACTTAACGAACATTTGAACCAAAAAATTATTGGAGTAGGTTGTGCAGCTCACATTCTACATAATGCTATTCAAACAGCATCTGACTTACTTCCAGTTGATGTTGAAAATATTATTGCAAAAATTTATTCGTATTTTTATATATATACTGTGCGTGTTGAAAGTTTGAAGGATTTTTGTGAAATCGCAGAAATCGAATATAAAAGAATTCTTGGTTACAGCAAAACACGATGGCTAGCTCTTTTACCAGCTGTAGAAAATATTTTAAAAATATACGAACCATTAAAATCATACTTTTTATCACAAGATAAATGTCCAAGAATATTGCAGCTCTTTTTTGAAAATGGCACATCACAAATTTGGCTTCAGTTCATTCACAACCAAGCTACATTATTTCACAATGCTGTGAAAATTATTGAAGGGGACAAAATTTCAATTACGGAAGTGTCAAATGAAATCAATATTTTAAAAACAAAATTACGAGAAAGAATTGATAACGATTACATTCCTTTAATTATTCGAAAAGACATCACTAGGTTGGAAGAACAAGGTGCCATTAAACGACCTGATTTTTTGAACCATGTCAAAAATTTCTATAATAACTGCTTGGAATATCTTGAAGAATGGACAGTTCAATTCGAAGATGTTAAAAATTTTCATTGGGTGACATTAAAAAAGGAGATTTTATGGGAATATGTGGAAAAATCTTTTGAATATATTAGTAACCATTTTCCGAAAAATAATATTTGCGAAAATGATCTTTTTGATGAGGTGTCATTGGTAAAAAGATATGTTACAGATGAAAAAATTAAATGTTGGTTGTCTGCAAATGTGGAAACAGACAAAAAATGGACGGAGTTATTCCTTCATTTTAAACAGAATAATATTCCTTATCAAAATATTTTGAAAATTGTAGAATTCGCGCTCTCCCTTCCGGGAACAAATGCAGCAACAGAACGTGTTTTTTCTAGTATCAATAAAATATGGACAACTGAAAAAACGCAGTTGAACATTAAAACTTTAAAATCTATTTTAAGTGTAAAATATAATTTGACCAATTCATGTGAAATATTTCACGACATTTTAATAAATGATCCGAATCTATTGCAAAGTATTCACTCGGATCAAAAATATGACCGTGAAAGAAAATCATAATTTTTTTTAAATAAAAAATTTAATTTGATTAAAAATCATAATGTTCAAATTATTATTTTTTACAAATATTTTTATAGTCACCGATAATTAATAATAAATACATTTTTGTACAAGTATATGAATGTATACAATAAAATATATATAACTAAATTGTAATTCTCATTTCATCCCATTTGTCCCGCTTTGTCTCAGTGAAAATGTGGTCACTTTATTCTAATAGGAAATGGCTGACATATAGCGACAAACAAAATGCTTTGTTTTATTCAATATGTTTAGCGTTTGCTTCACCTTGGGTTAGTTCATTTCCGTTTTTACGAGACATGGAAGATAGAAGGCATGTTCATGACAGAGTAGATGAACATGAGCGAAGTGTTTCACACCATAATTGTGCTGAAGCACATTTTTTAAGAGATAACAAAGCAAATCTTGATAATTTACTATTCTGTAATCAAATGTCTTCACTTTGAGCGCAAGTACGAAACAGAAGAGAAATTTTGCAACGAATAATAGATATTATTAAATTTATTGGGAAACGAGGATTAAGTTATAGAGGCGATAAGCTAGGAGCTGCCTATACTCTGGAAGACATACCCGTAGATCATGAGAACTTTTTGGAACTTGTTGTTCTTCTTAGCAAATATGATATTACTTTGAAAGACCATTTGAAAGATTGTATTGAGAGTAGTAAAAAACTTCACTATTCACAAAAAAGTAAGGACAGAGGGTCTTTGTTAACGTTTTTTTCCAAATCCACCATTAATAAAATTATTCAATCAATTGGACAACTTATAACACAAAATATTCGTATGGAAGTACAAGCAACTGGTATGTTTTCGTTACAAGTAGATACAACACAGGATATTTCATGCAAATATCAATGCTCAATTATAGTACGAGATGTGAAAGACTTCTCGCTGTTGTGTAAATCTTCAACAGGACAGAATATGTTTTCGTTAGTGGATTCAGTTTTAAAGTCTTGGAACATAGATATAGCAAAGTGCATCGGTAATTCAACTGACGGGGCTGCAAATATGCAAGGTGAATATAAAGGATTTTCTTCACGGCTTTCCAAAGAGTCCCCTGGTCAAATTCATGTTTGGTGTTATGCACATGTCTTAAATTTAGTTTTAGGAGATACCACGAAGGCACTAATTGAAAGTGCATCGTTTTTCAGTCTACAAAATAGCGTCGTAGTATTTTTCCGTGAATCATACCAACGCATGAACATCTGGGAACAAAGTAACGAGTACAGAAATAAAAAAAGGCTCGCAACTACTCGTATTGGAGAAACACGTTGGTGGTTCAAAGATTCTACATTAAAGAAAATTCTTGGTACATTTTCAAACTCAGATTCAACTATAAAGCTGTTATATGTCACATTGATTACAAGTTTAGAAACTATGCAACAAAATTCAAATTTCAAGTCATTTATCCGTGCAAAGGCAAAAATATTTTTAGAATCATTTTGCAAATATGAAACAGTAATCACCGCCAAAATATTAGAAAGACATCTTAAAAGCTTTTGGAATGGTATCACAAACGTGTTCAGAACTAAAAAAAATAGTGAGAGATTATGAAGGTGTGCAAAAAGTTACAAATTATTTTATTATTCGCGCAAATAAGGAGTTTGAGGAAACTGAAACTGAAATAGAAATTCAAACAAAGTTTCCACAAAAAAGAGTGAAGAAAATAAAATTGATGCCGGGTGAGATAGCGTCGAATGAAACAGTTTTTGATAATGAAACCACTGCATATAAGATAAACGTCCATAACATTATTTTCAGCACAGTTGTAGCGTCAATGGAACGCCGGTTGCCCCGCAAACGGAAAATTGTACGCCGATTTTTCCAATCTAGATCCTAAACATTTCCTTGAAATACGTCTTAACAAGTTTCAACCTGGCGAACTAAATGAGTTAAGCCAACTCTTACTAAAATTTGACGAGACAGCTCTAGGTGAAAATTTGCGGATTGAACTAAGAAATTTAGCTTTACAGTGGGAAAAACTGAAAAATTCAGACTTTATAAAATTTATTAGATTATAATATTACAGAAGATTATAAAATAATCAGAGAAGATAATTCAAATGAAGATAATAACGACTTTACTTTGGAAACAGAAGAAGAAGTAAGTCTAAAATGTGAGACGCGCAGTGCGTTCAAAAATTCTGTTATTTGCTGCTACAAGATATTACCGAGATTCAATTTATTGATCAATTCTTACAATTTAATTGGTCCAGCATTAAAATTTTTACTAACATTGTCAATAAGTCAGGTGGCTTGGGAAAGATCATTCTCCACATTAAAAGTAATTAAAAATCGAATGAGGAGTACTTTATCTTCGGATAATTTGAATGCTCTCATGGTAGATAATGGCAATAAAAAAAGATCTATTAATGAAATTAGATAGCGACGACATAATCGATAAAGTGGCAGAAAATAGTGAGCTTCTTCAAAAGTCATTAAATGAAATTTTAATTTAACGACTTTTGAAGAAGCATTAAATCTATTTTTAAAAATTTTTCTATATAAATCATTCATGTATGTGTAGTATAATAAATATTTTTATTTACTCTTCCTCTTTCACTTTCTTTTTGATTTTATCAACCTATGTTTCCTCATAAGAACCATGTATTTTAAACTGAAATATATTCTATGAAGGATTATTAAGCAATTTTTATCTACTTTCTTACTTCGATAAATTAACTTACGTTCATGAGAATATATAAGTAAAAAATGCCTAAAAATGACACATTAGGAGCCGCATACGGTTCGCGCACGCGGTGTTTATCTGAAGTAGAGGGCCGATACCTCTAAAATGCCCGGGCTGATTTTAGATCCCAGTCCGGGCCTGGCTGGAAGATAAAGATATTTTTCAATTAAGACCACTTTTTCTGGTCAGTAATGAATTGGTTAAGGTCTTTTAAAGCAGTTTGTCCCAGAACTCTCGCAAAAAGTAATTTTGATGTAAAGCACAGATTTTTAAAAGACAAATATGTGTGTGTTTTTTTATTGATTTAATAACTAAATACTTCGAACGGTGTAAAAAAATCAATAAATCAATACTAAACAGCACTACAAAATCATGCACAAGAATGTAACACAAATACCGACACAAATAATAAAACTAAAATAATTCCAATGTTTATTTTATTATTTATTATTATTTGTTGTTCTTACCGGTGGGTTTAAGTTATTAGATTACGCTAAATAGGTATTCAGTAATTAAGCCCATCCAAAAAAAGATTAATTAAATTCATCTGGCATAATTCTGTTGCTCGAGGCAACTCCTGATTTTATTTTACAATATTGTAACGTAAATAAAATATTCCCTTATTCATTTAATTTTTCATTGTGAGTGCATTTATAATAAAACGGTTAAAATTAAAAAAAATTTGATGCTTTTAAAATTCATATGCTGTGTACACATAATGCTCCATATTTCTCCTTAATATTAACCTATAATTTTGAAACTCAGTCAGATACTGTAATATAATACACTACCATACCAAGAGGAATAATTATGTTTTATTTTATAATCGTTGAACAGTCGACCCAATTTCGGGTTTACGACCACTAATGCTTAACTCCGTAGCCTTGTAATTTTGAATCCAATCCAGAAAACCAAAAACTCCTGGATCAAGTATTGGGAGAAATACGCCTTCGTGAAGGACTTTTTGATGGAATTAACCCACCTTTGCGTTACATGGAGAGGAAAATCACGAAAACCTCCCACGATTTGCCTAACGGCAAGGGTACTCTAACCCATGATCCGTCTACCACGGAAGATGTTTAACGTCAGCACTGTGGTCGGTGCAAGTTGGATGTGGATTCGTTTCGATCAGTCATCGAACCGGTTCACCGGGTTCTTTGGAAGAGGAACGCTCTATCCCCTGAGCCATCGTGGTTCCAGAATAAATGTAGACAAATAAGTGTTCGCACAATGGGTATGGTTCCATTGAAAAAGCGTGGAAAGTCAACACCTACTAGAAGGTCAAGGCCTGCTGGCTGAGCGATTTCAACCATAGCCACCGAGAGTGAAGGCCTCTCAGTAGATTTGTGACGTCATCCTCTGACGGGTTAGCGATGCATAAGATAACGCGGTATTCAGGTTTGTATTAAGAGAAAACTATAATAAATAATTCAAACTTTTGAGCCACGTAATATATTTTTGCCTCAGCTAATTTAATAGCACTTAAATTTTTTTTCAAGTGNACAACAAATTCAACAGCGCCGAGGGTGGGAGTTCCGAAACGCAGCAGTGATCTGGTTTTTAAAATTATTTTTTTTTAAAAAATTTACAATATTGTGACGTAAAACAATATTCCTTTACTTATTTTATTTATTTCCTTATTTAATTACATATCTGTATATTTTTGACACGACAAACCGCAGAAGTTGCTTAAGAAGCTTGCGAAGCTCTACCGGTTCACCTGAGTAAAGTGGTTTGGACAACAGACTGCCAAATCTCGTGGGTCAAAGGTTCAAAACCCATCTGTCATCAATTTTTAGAAATTATATAATTATATTGAAGGGAAATATTTTTTTTAAATTTATTTCACAATATTGTAACGTAATTAAAATATTCCTATACTTTTTTTAGTAAGTGCCTTCATAATAAAAGCGTTAAAATTACATAAATTTTATCTTTATTCTGTATATTCTATATATATATATATATATGTATATATATATATATAATGCCCCATATTTCATCTTATTAACCAATAATTTTGAAACTCGATCAAATATTATGCTGTAATATAGCAAACTACCATACCGTGTTGAATAATTTTGGACAAATTAAATAGGGTCTACAATGGGGAATAATATGGTTTCCGCGACAAACAGCAGAAATTACTTATGAAGCTTGTTATAGCTCAGGTGAGCCGGTAGGATTAAGTGGTTTGAAGCATTAAATTGCAGGTGACGAGAGTCGCAGTTTCGAGCCACAGAAATTATTTATAAAATCTTGCTATGAGTCTCACATAACTTTAAGATTCATAAGACCTTTTCAACTGCACGACTCATTATTAGACATCTAGTACATTCTTAATATTACATTTTGTCGGTTGAAGGTTGATTAAACTATAGCCAGTTTTCAAGACCGGCTTTTTCAGAGTTTCGCAAGTCCTGCATGTTGTACGCTACGTACAAAAGAGTACGTAGAGCTTAGACATACGCTTTGGGACGTATAAGTATGCGTCGCAGAC